AAGCGACGCTGAATTTGGATAGGCCTTTGTGCAACAAGCATAATCAAACGACTCACGAGCAACATCCTGCGAAACATAAAAGATTATCCAAGGCAACAGATGTACATATCGAGAACCATGAGCATAGAAGAAAAGGATTTAATGTCTTACCAGTACTGCTGAAAATTGGGTTCTGATATCTTCACCTTCAAGTGAACTGCGAAAACACGTGATCATATTGTCTATTTGTTCCTTAGTGTATGTCACGAGAGTTGTCAAAGACAAGAAACCACTGAAATCATCGCGTCACGTATTGTGGGTGGAGAAGGAGAAGCACTGCAAGTGTCAGCATTGTTCTGCATATGTAGCACGTTGTAAATTGTCAATCATGGATGCTGCAACTTATCGTGTATTATCCCATGTTTCCACAATGGTTTCTACAAGAAGTAATTACAATTTTCTAAGCTCTCGTTGGTTTCTCTACCTCGGAGCTCATGTGTTGATCTGGAACGTGAAGATATTTCTACGTATTGAGGCACTTCCATCCTCACGCTCACTGAATGGCACCATGATCACCGCTTCTCTCAGCATGAATATAACTAAGTTAATGGTATATCTTGCATGAGCACAGTTCAGTTCTCAGGAACGCTAAACGTCAATCTCTGTCAGCGGAAAAACTCTGTGCAGTCTGATTACATGTTTCGTCAGAGTCAGCTCCAATCAAAGCTTCTTACATGTGGGTGCACTCCTGTAACGTACAGACATATGTTGAAAACTTTGAGGACGCTTTGTTTAGTACCATTGCAAATGAATGTTTTAATGGTTATTGAATGTGATGATGGCGATTGGCCACAAATATCATGCCAACCAACGAACATGTGAAGCTGCAGGTTTTGCAAGGAAACAGTAAATTCCGTAGTTTCCGTTCTAGAACGGGACCTACTAGGAGTTACTTTGAAGATGGTGTATATTATTTAAGAAATTACAAACGGTTCTTGATCCTCGAAAATTTCACATGTATCTCGAGGCTAATGAGGTCCCTGAACTGTACCATCTCGATGAATGCAGCTTCTGACACACCTGGAACGATCACACGAATATGTAAAACTTCTGAAAGTCAATGTTTAATCCTCGTTGCATCACCCTCGTACTCCCGTCTATTGATGTGGTCAACTGATCTTGCTTTTAGCTTTCGACGGTGAACGACTTCCTTAGTCTACGTCTTCTTCAAGCAAATGCCAATTCAACTCTTGAATCAGGTTCACTCTGATTTCACTGTATCGCCGCATCGCCAGGACAATGCATCGAAGTAACCCGACCAAGGAGTTGCGTGATGAACGACTCAGCCGTCAACGCTCAGCGAGATCTCATAAGTTATCGGAAATTTCGAGTCAGTGACTACAAGTTGCACATATTTATTCGTTTCCAAAGTCCCATGACTCCGATGTTTAATCATCCTTTCAAACATGCCTTGAAGTCCAGATACACCACCGATATACAAGTTGTGAAAGTCTGAACCGGAGTTAGTGAAGCGATGGTGGTCAGCGCAGGTTCTAGCACGACAGGACAGGATATCTTTTGCCGCGGCGGCTGTCCTACTCTGGAGATGTACAGGAAACACAGACTGTTAAATTCTCAATGTCAACGCTGAACTGGGAAGATCGTAGGGTATTCGTGGATCCTGTGCAGGATTTAAATAAAGGCTGACTCCTGTAGTGGATGTCAACGGGCTTTGATGTCGTGTTGTCGCTTGCACTGCCCAATCAACTGTTGTCTTGGATAAGTGCCGCCACTACTCTCTGTCTCTTTGTCCATAGAGTAAATATTTTCCAACACCTACAGGTTTCGTATAGTGAGTAGTATCAACATTGACTTTATACAATTTTTGGGTCTTGTTTGAATCTTGGACAATGGGGAGTGGTACTGTAGACTAGCATGGAGAGTTTTTCTTAAAATCGTTGCGTAGATCAATTTTGTTTAGTGACAACGTAATTCTTAGAAATTCAGTATCGTTTTAATCACACTCCGCATTGGATATAATATTGTAATGAATTTTTTGCAGAACTCTGATTTACACCGGTCAGTTTGTGGATTTATGAATGAAATCTTAAAACACATTTTGGACTTTTGAATTGTTTCACGTGAATTGGTCTGTTAGGATTGTGGCTTTGCACACGTGAGTGGAAACATGATGGGTATCGTTTTTCATTTTGGTTCTCTCTTTAAAAGCTATGTCTTTAATGCCTAAACCAGGGTTTCAGTCAATATATTTAATAACTGCATTGCGAGTGAAATCTATTTACAGAAGTTATATGTACAAGATTACGATTCAACCTTTGGGAATCACACTTGAGACGGACAATCGTATATACATCTACATTATCAAAACAAAAAAATAATTGGCACGGTAAATTTCACAAATTTTATTCATAGGTTATATCGCGTGCTTCATGATGAGACTGGATGTACTTTCCACTTGTCGCATGATCATTTGAAATAGGTTGTACCTTAAATTTGGTATATTCAATTGTCTACTTTTGTATTTGAAACAATAGGTCAAGAAAAGAACTCTTATATTTTCTTTTCTTCTATTAATGTTTCTTGGTAATATGTTTTCAAAAATATTTTGAAAATGTATCTCAAATGAAATTATTTCTCTAATTATTAAAGGTTTTGGAAATCTGTAGATCTAATTACTTAGCGGTCAGTATAAAGATATTTTAATACATAATAAAAGTAGAATTCGTCCTAGCATTAGTCTAAAAATCCGCTCTAATTTATCCATGTACATAAGAAGCCGCAAATCTTTGAAATTAGCTACATGAACGTTTCTTACTTCGTATTAGCTCAAGAGTACAGTACACATGATTTCTTTGAATTTTATATATTAAAAAGCGGCATCCTTGACAGTCATATAAAAGAAGAAGAAACATATATCAATTACTTATTATATAGAATCTCTTTCAAAAGAAAAGAGATATTCATCTCTATCTACATATAAAAGTTATTAGATAGAGAAAAGTCGAATGGGATTAAAATGTAAATATAACACCAAAAGAGTATGCACTGCCATTAATGGCAAATAGTGAATACCATTTAAGCCACTGTGGTGTCATATCTTTATTCATCATTGTTGATGAAACTTGTAACTCATATTAATCGAGAAACAACTCGACTTTGAACTGGGAACTATCAAACGGTCTTGCTGGTGATGACCTAAACATGACAAATCCATAATAAAACAGATGATCTTGCCTGCAATCGTATAATTTTCACGATCTCACATTTAGGCTCGCTTGGCTGCGCTTATGACGTTTGAGTTTTGCAGCCCTTTGATCTCCATATACTTCCCTAAACACATTACTTATTTCACTCCACAATCGAATACACAATCAATGAATATATGGGGTGTAAACAGAAAGATAGATTAGCCACTAGATAGGTTACTTGTTGCCTTTTGGAAGTATATGCACACTCGTACAATATAAAGGGCGTGTACACTTACAGTTTCTTCATTGATTATGGGTGAAAAAGAAATTGCACGTCTGAAGGAACAAGAATTGACTAGTTATGACTGGATCTAAAACCTGGTCGATGGATGTTGCATCAAAATCGCAAATCAGATGTTCACTTGGCCTGGATTTCGTGGTTTCATCCTTACATCGTCACAAAGTCCGCTATGTGACGATAGACTGCACCAGACCACTGAAATACGTCGCAGTACCGCAGTCGTACGCCAAGAACACGATGAGAAGGAAGACTCATGGCAACACGCTGAGCATGTACCGATACATGGCACTTGAGCTAAATTTAAGAACACGGGTACGAGCTCGGAAGGATATTTCGTCACGCATACATGGAAGTCCAAATCTATGAGCTGCGGGCAGAGTATGGACCGAGTTAGAAGTTTTGTCGACCTGCGTCTGTCAGATTTGACCGCGATCTTCTCACCTGGAAGTGGCAAGTGGAAAATTGAAAGCTCCACATGTCTCGGGTTTCCGACTGCTAGAAAAGGGAATTCTTGTGCTTACAACTGTCCTGGCCTCACTCGATTCGGCGCAACCCATTGCGCTGAGCTAGCAAGCCTCTTGGTAGCATGGACGAAACTGATTCAGATCTTTTTCAACCAGCTCTCTTCTATAATTAGCGTCGCTGCGAGAAACTGCCTGCGAACCCGGTAGAAGCAGGGCACTTGTGGTGCTGCTATATCTGGCCCCATGATGTCAGGCATCTGATTTCTTGGACGAACGGGTATAATGAGAATATTTGTGGTCAAAGTGGACAACTAGACGTTGGAGGACATATTTCCGCAATGGGAATATACCTTGCGATTTGGTCACTCAAGAGTGGGATCCTTGAACTCAGAATTCAGTGTACACGAGAGCTTCAGTTTGCACCTAGAGGGATCAACGACAAACTAAATTTCAGAAGTCGCTCGGACCCAAGTTTCACGTTTCATATTCAATGTATCTTCCCCCTTTCCCATCGACAGTCGATCGATGTTTTTCGAGTGGAACCATAGATAGCCAAAGGTTCTTCGTTGGGTGCCTCTGGCCGTTTGTACCTGGGGGCATACCCCGATCACTCGCTCGGCAATAATTCTCGAAGCACAGCTCCTTGCACCCAAAAAGAAAAAGAAAAAATAGGAAAAATTCGAAGAATATGCTCGAAGGTGTTAAATAAGATTATTGGGGGCTTGGGTTTAATGACACGGGATCTAGAGTTAGGCAGATGTTCAGACGGGCCACCTTGTGGAAGCCAGCAAGCAAAACTAGGCCTGGCTAGATTGGCCTGAAGGAATGGAGGTGTTTTGTGGCACCGAGCAAGTTTGAGCATGAAGCCTTGACGACTTGAGGGCGACTGCCGTGGCTTCTTCCGCCGCCGATCCCGGAGACTGACAAACTGGGCTGGGGATGACGAAGTTTCCGCAAGAATTGCAGACTTGGGCTGACTTTCGGGAAGAAGGCCTCTCTGTGACGCACTCAAGGCACGGGTACAGGCCGAGGCCGGGGGGTTGACATTGCAACTGGGTGCTGACTATAAATAACTGCAATCGGAGCCACCTTCCGATGCAACACCGAAGCAGTCTACTGTTGCCCACAGATCTCTCTTCTCCAGGAGCCGGCTCTCGAGGAATCATTCGTCCAGTTTCTTCTCCATGTTCCTTGCAAACCCTCCTGAGGGTTGAGGCTCCGACCCAAGACGTGCATCGTCGTGCTGCAGCTGCATGCCATTCGAAGGTTGGCTGGTCCGTCTGGGTGGTGGGCCGCGAGTGGGTGTCTCCCGAGCTGGGCTGGGCTTCCTGCGGCTTTGTGGTCGCGGATGATTCATAACATCACAATCGTAGGGGCATAAAAAGGAGGAGGTCTTGACGGGCAAGATAGAGTATGGAAGTACAGGCTTCGGCGCAATTCAAAGCTTGTTGCGCGGAGATTTGCCAGATCCTTCGACAGTGGCGAAGATAGAGCTGTATGCTGCATAATTCAAAGACGGGAACGGATCGGAAGGATCTGTTCCAGCGTTCGATTGTCTGGGCTTTCATGTCTTCTACTTTGGATCAGGTGCGGGGTGAATGAGAAACTACAGTCCGCACATCTTGTAGCAAGGAGATCTACTGAGGATTCATCTGCGGAAATTCTGAGATCACAGGCTGATTCCCAATGGCCATGGAGATGAGGACGCCGGTTGCGTTTTTCTTCATGATGCTTTTGTTGGTGCCAATGTGCACTGCCTTGCGATTTCCAGCCTCTTTCGGTACGCTCATCTGCCCTTGCACCATTTCTCGTCTGTCTATGTCCCAGTGTCGGTCACGGGAGCAATTGTATCCGTGCACATCGTAGTATATCGAGGAATCTTCAATGTCCTTCGTTTCGGTATATTTGATGCTAGCGAAAGCGTGGAAGAACCTGTATCCGAGCGTTTGATCAGAAGATTGCATGCCGAAGCTCGTGTATGTTACATCCGTTGAACTTGAGGCTAAACTTAATTTCTAGTTCGACTTAGGACCTGAAGGATGGTCGTGTCTTAGTCACTGCCGATGCCATAGCCGAAGACCTGCGAGTACATGTGACGAAATTCAATAATATGGGCAGTGTAGTCCTTGCAACGTAGCATCTCTATCTCTCTTTGATCCTCTCAATGGTCACGTTGACCCCGTGGGTCGAGATCAACTAATGTTGCGCTTTTGTATATACCACCAAATTGTAACCTTTGAGGTCGTTAGTGCGAAATTCTTTAGTGCGTACAGAGCAGGTGAAGTATATTCCAAAGTTCCGTTTTCCCGTGGAGGGAAACGGCTGAATATATGGAAACCTGGGTTTATTGGAAATCCTTGACATGCTTCGTCATACTTGGGTGTACGAAGCTGTGGTATATTCATCGATTTGACGATGATGCGAATTGAGCAAGTCGGCGAGCTGGTCGGTTGCAGGGCATCGAAATCAGCAGCGCATGACTGGCACTAGATTTCAAAAGCTTGCCGTCGTCAGCGAAGGCAACTGCTTCTTTTTGACCCCTCCGACTCGGTTGAAACTGCTCACGTTTTGTCTCGACTCGTCTCCGTAGATCCCGTTCATAGCTGTCCAAAGCTGGAACACGCGAACGCACTCTCGCAGCACCACACTGGGCACAAAGTCAGCATCTGTCGATGATATTTTGGCCCTCGAGCCTCTTTAGAGTGTTGTACAGTAGAGTACAGCAGAAATCGGTGTAAGAGCCCTTGGGCTCATCTTTTCATGCAAAGTGGCTCTGACTTTTGAAATCCCAGAAGCCGAAAGTCATGATTGGAAAAGTCCACGCGTCTGACAGCCCGTTTCCTCGGTTCGGGGTGTGCTGGGTCCATGAGTGACGTAGCATGATGCTCAGCAGGCTGTGCACGGGCCGGACACAGCAGGGGAATGTGACATGCCTAGCACATTCAATACAAAATTGATGTCAACTCGGGTCGGACTCTTAGCATATGGTGACCTACACATCTAAGCCCTGTCGTAAGAACAGCTCAGCTGATGAAGGCGAGCACGTGCTTGGTTTTGGCATGCGCAGGCAAATTTGGACGAGTACCAGCGGTAGTGAGGGGAGATAATGAGCTGACTGCAGTGCTGAACTTACAGTACCACGCGCAGGAGCAACACCTCAGACCTCTGAGAGAGTCAGGAGCGGCAGACGGGTCCGATCACGATGAATGCCAAGAGCTGAATGGCTTCCAACTCACGCACTGCCAGAGATTACGATTCGAACGGCTTTTGGCCGAGGATTACCAAGACGCACACGCGAATGTGAACGTCGTGTACGCTCCTCTACCGGCCTGAACACCGCGTACTACTTGCAATCTGGCGATACCCTCTCGAAGAATCTCAGTTGAGTTCCAGTCGGTCCATCACTTTACTTGATCAGGTTCCTCGAGCAGAAAGCACTGCGGTTTTAGACACTTATGTACATATTATCTGGCCGAATGAGAATAGTACATGCACAATTTTGTGATCTTACCTGCTGCTTTGATGCACGACGTCGCAGTCTACGTTTCCGACAGTTTACTGCTTCTTAGTGAAGCTTGTTTAGTTACTCCTCCCATGTAACCGGACCCGACCTTTTACGAGCTTCAGTGAGCAGGTCGTCAACATTTGATGGACTCTGGAGCTTGATCAGGATCAGTGATTGGATCTTAATTTCCCTGCTTATTCTATTGCCCTCGTCAAAACTGAACGACAATGGGCCAAGAATAAGCCCGGAGATAGATATCCTGATGTTAGGTTTTGTACATTTAAATCAAAGGTCTTTCACACCCAAACTAAAACGAATTCAAAAAACGATTGAAGAACTCCCTTAACAAAATCCCCGGGAGAAGTTTTAGATCTAGATCTGTTTAATACGAATAGAATCTATGGATCGAGCAGAAGACTCGAACCGAAAAAATATTTGTACGCCCTTTATCCGGGTCTTTTGATCAGTCACGTCTCGAGGCGAAGATCAAGCTTTCATCGAAGGCAATACTTGATTCTTCTGAGTAAAGCTAGAGATTGAGTTGCAGCCTTCCGGTTTTACGTGACACTTATTGTATATTGCTTCACATACTTCATGGATTCCTTCCCTCGAGCGATTTTGCTCTGTTCGAATGTCCATGACTTTCCAGCACACTTCAATTTGTTTATACTTATAGGCCGCGATATCTGGATCGACGTGTAGATTATCGATGATCGTAGATGACCATTAATACACGTACATATACGACGTTGAGATGATGCCAGATCTGAAGAAGCAGATTACCTGTACTTGCTGTTTGACTTTGAGGTACATTGAGGTACATTTGATGTATCCAGTTGGTTCAGATCTTGCATATTGTAAGTTTGCCTCCAGCGGTCCAGTGCTTGATGATTAGTTACTCGGTTGCAACCTGCCGCCTCATCTAATCTAGATCGCCGTGTTCCATTTAGTGATCATCACTTCGGCAATCTACGCGAGAAGGAGAATCGAATAAGAGGTAGACACCAGCAGCGTAGACATGACGAACACTTCCCGGAAGGTTTGATCAATCCAGTTTGCACTGGTGTGCACTGAGGCCATGGCAGCCTGTAGGTTAGACTTGGCTTATTATCCACTGCCGGGTCAGCAAGCTGATGACAACGGAATTTCTCAGGCTGATCTGAGGGGATGTATGCAGAGAAGAGGTGGAGATTCTTGCTCACTGGCCTGCAATAAGTAAGAGGATCAGATGGCAGGGTTTCACCGAAGGACACATTGTCGCAGATGTGAGCAGAAGACATTTCCTCCCATGACACGCATGCTAAAGACAACCATGGAATCGAAGACCTGTGACCCAGTCCGCTGAATTTATCAAACCTGCAAGCTGTAATCTAGACAGCGTAGCCTCATGCTAAACGGAAACAATTTTAGCCCTTTCCGTGCTTTAGAAAATCTCTCTAACCGAATGTACTTTACTAACCGAATGTACGATGTGAAAACCGCCTTACCGGAGAACAATGTCTATTCAAATTATACTTTCTTGCAGTTTCATGGCCTTGCGTTCGCCAGCGCCTAATTTGTTTGAGCAAATAACCGAAATTGCTACAGCTCTCGAGGGACGCTAATGATCCTTAACTGACTGGCGATTTGCTTGGCAGATATAAGGACTATGTAAGAGTAGAACTTCTCCACGTTGCTATCGCCACTGCTCTCCAATCCTTGACCGCTTGTGCGTTGGTTGACACTTTTTGCCGATACTGCCTGTACAATCCATCACTTTAACAAGCACTCGATGCAATTGTGATGGTGTGCATCGAAAGCTGTACGCGTCAAACCAGAAGAACTCCACTTCCACAGTGTTCTATTACTGCGTTCAGCGCGAGGACCACCGTACTCAGCCCGGGAAAATGGTCTGCAGGCAAAGAAGCAGCGATTTGACCAGACGTCTGCACACGAGTCGCTTACTTACTGAGATATCCGCAGAGGATCCACACAATACAAAGACTCTTCATCCTTCTGCGGATTGGAAATTACTGACGTGAATCCTTTGAGAAAAGAGTGCAGGGGCCAACAAATTGACTTTGTACTTGCGTCCAGAAGTAATCGACGCGACGAAGATGCCTCCCAGTTTCAAGGTTCAGCACTGGGCCAGATTTGAGTGATAGTTTTACGGATCAGAAAGGCGATCTTCTGAGGATAAGTAAAGAGTGATCCATGATGTTTGATACGGAAACTGGGGATCCGATCAAACCCTATTGACTTGGACACAAATTTCTTCAATTTGATTCGACAGAGTTTTCGGTGCTTTCCTCGTGCAGGTTGAAGCCAGAGCAGGCTGTAGAAGTTGGTCACCTAGTATCAATGTAGTGACCTGATTTTATACTGGCCATTGTAAATAACTCAAATCTCACCGAGTGCTAAACTATGAATTTGGGTGACTACTTGTTGACTCCTCCATGAATAAATAGAAAGCTGAAATGGATTTCCATGTCCATTTATCGGAAGTAGGCTCAAGGGTATTTTCCTAATGACACTGTAAGCGTATGTGACGATCCTAGTACTGAAGGAGGGAAATCAGATCCCATCCTTCTCTAACCAAATTCAGTTTTAAGAGATGAGTTTGCTCATAGGATAAAAGTCAATATCGTAATAGATGAGAGCGTCCGTTGACCACGTGTTATGCTCTTTTTTGCGTGGAGAAGCTTCCTTCTGCTTTTGGGCACGTGTGCTTTGACAAACAGGATTTTGGAGACAAGCAAAGAATCGTCCACATTTTTATCATTGAGCTCCTTTACAACACAGGTTTGGGTGGTGAAGAATCCCTGAAAAGTTAAGAGTAGATGCTAAAAGTCCGCCGATTTTGACCTACAGTTGAACGCGTGCGTGCAAAATCCCCAGTAGCACTCATAATGACACCAAACCATAGCCTCTGTCCCTGACGACCAATCTCTATCAGCGGCAATAAGGTTACGACGTCAAAGTTGATCGTATGCTCTTCTCCGCTTTAACAATCGTGGGAGCAAAGGACGACTGAACCTTACGAGTCCATAGGATCAAAGTTCGTCATAATTTTTATCTTGAGTCCCTCCTTTCTTGGGGCTTTTTTTTCTTATTCATATTACTACCGTGTGCTTACCAGTGTCTCTAATTACCCAATGCATTGGGTACATTGGGTGATTACAGGAGATGCAATTGAAGGTTTCATATATTGTATAAAAGATAAGCACCTTGATTCAGCTCTTGTTGACACTGTCATGCCAGCAGACAGCACCTTGTGAGGTTGCAAATCGCAATCAAACAGACATGAGCCCCAAACTCAAGAGCGAGATATTTCAGATTCAGAGCAGCAGATCTGGGCGCAGATTCTATTGAACATCCAATCTGAACTGCATGTAATTTACATGAGAATCGTCTGTCGACATGATTCCTTATAGTTGACCTTCATCCGAACTCGAGCTCTATAACAAATGCACTCGTAACCTCATCAAACTTTGAGCTGTAAGAAACTCGTGGCCGGTTCAGCTATGGCCAGGGGGCCACCAAGTAGGAGTGCTGTGATGACTTTGAGGACAACTGCGTCTCAGATCCCGAGAAGTTCAATTCCTTTCATGGTGTAGATTGCAAGGTGTTCATTGTCATGTGCTGAGTGTGAATGATAGAAATGAGACCAGTCATCAAAACTTATCCACAACATATTCCTATCAGGATTATATGGTCATGCGCTCATGTTCCTCAGTGTGTTCGTTATTCTCTAAACTTCATCTCCCCGTCATCTGTGAATTACTCGTTGGAGAAATAATCACGAGATTTTATCTTATTTTCCAACACTTAAATTATTTTAATGATATGTCACTTAGCCAACCAGTACTTTAAACTCAAATTTGGATCATGCACATGTACTACTGCACATCACGTACTCAAGTATCTACTATTCACTGTGACAAGGATTGGATCTGAGTAGTACTTGAAGAAATACGCCATCGACCATATAAGAATGTTGTATGGGTCTACATAGAACATGCTTACAAGCCTCGAAGAAGAAGGTCATGGAGGACAGATTCTTGAGGAAACTTATTCCAACAGTAAATGTAGGAGCACTTCCTGCGCTTCAAACGTATATATATGAATTTGAGTGGACTTGGACTGAAGGCGAAACGACATGTTATTATTCTATTGAAACAAGGCGAACCACCTTCCTGTAGGATGTCCTTCAGATCTGGCCCCCAATTGGTATGCTCGAATAAATTTTCACGTTGAGCAGGTAGCATAGTGTGCATGATACGGGTCAACGGTCCATGAGATTAGCAGCGCAAAACACCTTGCAAATATCGAAGGTTCCCGCTGAGATTGATGTTCGTTTGGCTAGGTTGTGCCTAGAAAACCGGAGAGTCCTGGAGTCATGTGTAAATAAGTATCAGAGCAGGTATAATACTTGATCGTGATTCAGTACGCAGCCTCACAGACGATGTCAAGTGGCAGGAGCGTTAAATATCAAGTGCAGTGCCCTCTCAAAGAATCTGCAACTTGTTTACTTCCCGCACAGTTTCTTCTGTTTGCGTGAATTCTTCCGTATGAGATTGAAGTCGTACTTCGCAAGGTCGACGCAATTACTTTCTTAACTGTAGTATGATTCTGACCTTTCCTGGTCCAAATGAAACTTCTGAAGGACAGGATGTAACTTGAGAACTGAAATTTCAAACATGTTGGCAGGCCTGGTAATTGTGGACTAATGCATTCGCTTACATTTTGAGATGGTAAGACTCGATGACTCTATTAAATTTATATTGTTAAGTTTCTCAGTGTAATTGTATGAATATATATATAATATCCAGTATCGTAAGCAAGCTTTTGTACCGACGTCATCATTCAATAGTGATCTGAAACAGAGTCTGACGTTACGGTATGCATTGTGGAACACATTATAAACAGTTGTTGAAAGCTGATTATTTACTACAAGAATATCATCACATGTCAACGTTCTAGTAGTAAACAAATTGACGTCAAAAAGGTAGAATAAATAACATAATCTTGAAATCAAAGATATCATGTTGAATTGAGGGTTCACCTCTCCATTAATTTTTTCTTTAATTATTTTCTAGGTAGGCTTGCCTCGAGTTAGTTATGTTGCTTATTCAACGACTGGAAGATTTATCTTTCGGTTGTTTACTTCACCTTGCAGCTGGCACTAGGAATCAGCGACCTATAACGAACATGTGCCAGATTTACTATAACCTATAGATTAAGAACACGTATTTGGATTTCTCTTGTACAGACAGGGTATAGAAAGCGAGTTGAGCATGTGCTACAGATGCACAGTTCATGGCCTCAGAAGCTTTAATCAAACCTTTGACTTCAGATTTGTTGATGGTTAGGGAGAACTCAGCATAAGCTCGATATGAAGTGAAAAGATAAGGCATCCAGCTTCTATTCTTCGAGGAAACTACAGATTCTCTGTAGACATATATCCGCTTATTTAATTTATATTCTCAGAATCTATAGACTTTACTTGACGCTGCATACTTACACAATATCATCTGGAGAAAGGTCGACGGCTCAAACCTTGTCATTGTAACACGATCAGTTGACAAGTATTTTGTAGTAGATACTAGAAACTATCAGCTGCGGGACGTAGACTTTCGGTAGGCCTACCCGCAAGGTCATGCATATCCTGTTCTTTCTAGCCACACATGACTCCAACAGCATCAGATAACAGCATGTACAAGTAAGTGATGTGCGATTATACATCCCCGAATCTCTTTCTCGGTTATCCAAAACTAGCTTTTCACATATCATCCCAGAATAAGATCTTGGATAATAAATCGTGGTCTAGCGTTGGCGTCTTGGTTTGATGTTCTTGTGATACGCATAGACAGTCTCAGAAATTCTGTTAAGGATGTTGCCATTTTCAATATCTCATTATAGATCTTTCTTGATTAAGAAGCAAACTATAAAACGATGGCTCTTCCTGGGACGCCTTTCGTGACATTGTGGAATCTTGTTTGTTCTAGATGACTTCAGTTACCGAGGAGATTATTGACTTCCAATTGTGTGTAAGTATCAGTGCTTAGAACTCTAGCAATATTTTGGTTGTAAGACCCTGTATATGTAAACCAGGCAGGGGAAGTCAACCAAGTAGATTCAATAATGTGGAAGTACAGAAGTCAGCAATGGAGTATGTTTGGGTGGTTGGCCGAGTTCGAGGTGAATTAAGACTAGCATCTTGAAGTACCACATGACTCTTGGGGTCAAAGGTCAATGACTGGCTGCCCCTAAGTTGCTCAGCAGCGTGTAAGAACTTCCGTCTTGATGATTGGGGCTGCTAAACTTACGCCAAAGGTTGCCCTACTGACCACGCAAATTCAGCCAGACTGATAAGAATACGGGACAAAATCGAGATTACTGTGTGATAGCGAACGAACTCGTACAGCCTAGATCTGCGAATATTGCACGTCACTTCGTGCTTAACTTCACTGGGAACTAGTGCGGAGGTCTTGCGCTGATTTTACCCAAAGACATATTAAAGGTAGTTAAACTTCTCTGCAGCAACGTTCCACACCTCCAAGTGCGGAAGGAAAAAAGAACTACGAACACCTATGTTCCAAATTTCATGGAATGGTTGGACAGTCTCTCTGTTGAACCTAATGCAATTATCTTGGTCATGTACAGTACTCAAATCTTAAAAAACAGATTTTCACTTTTCAGAGGTCCAATCATGATTCAGTACAACATCCGAGATATCTTGTAAATCTGCTCATAAGGCAAATCTGTGTAGTGGACGGTTTCACATTTTGCGTAGTCCTACTCGTGAAATTTTGGGGGGAATCTCATCACTGTCTACCAATGATGTATCAGTACGAGATGCTGGGGATCAGAAACTGGTATCGTGCTTAACTCCAGTTGCCAAAAGCAGTCAAACAATGCAGATACTTGATAGACTGGGCAGCGCACAGAAAGGAAACTTTGTTGTCTATAATTCGAGCGAACAGTATTCAGCATGAAAAGGATGTGGGAGTACCTATGAGCTTGAGCATCAATGTACTGTTATTGCTATTTGTACTATTTCCAGTAGCACTTTTTAACAGTTTTAGGTACTGTATCTAGCGCAAAGATGAAGCACAGAGAAGTTGGCTAGCAACACTCAACACTTTGAATTTTCTGTGCACATTCAAAAAAGTCGTACAGAACATCAAACCGTGTCCAAACTGAAATTTTGGGCGACTTGTAACTAGTATTTACAAATTGTGTGTACAAATACAGCCTTCGAAGGTCTGAGAACGAACTCGAAGTGAAGCGGGGACGTTAATAGTGACGGTGAGAGAAGCTGCTCGATTCAGTTTCATGACTGCAGTTGGTGGTCTTCAGGAACAATATTCTCTATTCGTTCTATTTCCATCTACACTGAAATTCACCCCATGTTTCAAACTAAACGACTCCACACTGCATGATATACACTGAGTTTCAAACGATGTGGGGCTTTTACACGTTGACTGCAAGTGTACAAGGTGTAGGCTCTTTCAAGTCTTTTGAGCATGCATGCCTGAATGATTGGATCTGAAGTTGACTGCCAGAAATAAACTGCGAAAAGTTCGAGAAAGCATCACTGCGCAGCTGAACATTCAAGATAACGAAACCGAATCCAACACGCAGCCACAACGTGATTCCTGGAATTTGAATCAGGGTGCTCATCTCTGTTGCTTAACGATACGTCCACAATATCTCCACTTTACTGCACCACTCGGCTTTGTCTCGTCTAAACACTGAAACCTTACACAAAAGATAAATCCTCAACCATTGATCCAGGTTCGCTGTCATCCAATTGAGCTAGGCCACTGCCATCTGATCATAAGTTGACCTTCGTCACTTAGAAGACAAAAAAAATTGAACTTATTCGAAAAATCACTAAAAAGTTGTTAAGCCTTCGAAACTCTTGAAGACGGAAAGACTGTGAAAGAGGGTGGACTGCGGCAGTACCAAACAGGTCTTTTGAAGTCACAGATCTGGACCCACGTGCTTTCAAATGTGAGTCGCAGTCTAAACATCGCACTCTCGTTTTCATATGTATCAGTGCAGAGTCTTGTTTCCGAGGGAAAGTTCTCAGATCATCGTCCTACGATACCAATAGCCTGCATTTCCACAACACATAAACTCCTGCTATTAAAGAGTCAAACTTCCTCACACACCACTGTATTTTCATTTTCAGTGTCATGTATTATCTGATTCCCATCAGATCACAGACACCCTAAATGGAAATGGGTACCACAGTTCATCGTCCTGCTTCAAACCATCTGCAAAGTGTACGAAGTCCCTTGGCCTCTGTCTGGTCTTTTGACCGCGGGAGCTCATTGCATGGAAGAAGTAGGAACCAATACCACCCCGCTTTCACCAAACAACCAACCCACTACAGAAGTGTTAGATTTCTCAGCAGCTGAAAGACTGCGAGCACGTCTCGACTACACAACGAGCTGCATATTCTGATGATCTCATATCTTGGACATCTGAAACTTTATCCTGACACTGTATTTCCGAATGGCGTTCCACAGTCGGAAACTGCTGCTCAATATAAGAGACTGGGGAACAAACCGTACGAAACTCTATCGTCGGTTGGGCACAGACCCTTCCCATTTCCCAGCAGGTCCATGCGCCGTACTTACAAGGCGATCAGGACCGAGTCCAGGAGCTTGAGATTTGTCTGCCTGGTGGTCGGTCGGGCACCGTCGGTGACCGCCAATACTGCGGCTCCTGCCTACAGCCTGTAGACTCCTCAAGTGGGGGCCGTTCTCAGGGAGGAACTTCGACGAACGTTTGCAAATTCCGGAAAGCGGAAAGACGGGACGCGCACCAAAGGAATTCGCTTCAGGTCCCAAACGGCCTTCTGAGACATGGCGCAGTCGTCATTTGTAACGTACTCTAGTTGTTCTAGAGGTCGGGATTAGGACTTTGCACTGTCATGGCTACCGAATTTACCGAAAGCATCAGGTTCCTGGCGGCGGATATGGCTGCTGTGAGCTCTCCGGGAGAGGCACGTGGCCGAATCTACTTCTCGGGCTCTGGGGCTTTGTGTCCCACGTCAGAAGAAAGGTGGGATCCCCCTACTATCGAAGTCAACCCTCCCGCCATCACCCGGGATACGAGGAAGTCGAGTACAACCGGAACCAACCCCAGTGAATATGTGCTTGCCAGGAAGATCTGCAAATTCAAATGCATGTTGTCAGAAACTAATATGTGCATTTTCTTATTATTACGCTTCAGAGAAGTGAATGGCCGGATGGTCTTCTGTATGAACTCTGGTCCGGCTTTTGTACTTCTGCATGTCCTTTTGTCTGGTGTTTTGTAGCAAATAGAATGGTCGGATTGTCAAAAACCACATAGGAGTAATATCCAGGTGTCCTATTACGGACGTGGAAAAGGAATGTCGATGATTCATCACGCAGAGTCAATGGATGTTTCTATTTTTGTAAAATTAATTGCTCCTTGCTTAATACTTTCTTGGAAGTGGCGAATATCCACTGTTTCCTGTGCCCAAAATACTGGTACCTAACAGCATTATTAGATTTTCTCAGAAGGCCACGCCAAATTATTTTTTAAGTTAACCATCTATCAAAGAGGGAGAAACATATCGGAAGACAATCCCTACTGATTGGAATTACATTGATAATTCATTACGGGCTTATACTTGATTCCTTTTATCGCATTCATTTTGATCAAGGAGTTACACAAATTGGACTGACCACCCTTTCGGCACCTGCGTTGCCTTCGCTCAGGTCATTCTGACTTCAACCCTTCTAAACAACATGGATTCTACGTGACCGTCCAGCGATTAGGGCAAGGCAAGTCTGGGTCAAGACATGAGACCCGAATGCACTTGCCATGACTGCAGAGATCGAAGGCGAAATTTCTTCTTGATCTGAAGTCACACAGGCAGGACAAGGTGATTAGCTTAGATAGCTCACTGACAGCTCCATTTTCAGTCAATCAAAAGTGCTATCTTGGTTAATTGGGTTAAAGCGGTAGACATGGTAGATAAACCAAAAACCATAAAAAATTGCCAGTTACTAGTAAGGCATCTAAATTATTTCAAATTAATTATGATATAAAACTTAATAATATATTATCTACATTCATATTCATCAATAAAGTATCATTTAGAACTTGATTTATAAGACTAAATAGCATTAACATCATTATTCTAAATTTTAAATCTTATCAAGAATATAAATATATATGTTCATTAAATTCAAACAGAACATTTATATATGATAGGGTACTTAACACTGAAATTGTACCAGATAATTTGTTTCAAGATTTGACGAAATACTCCTTGGGTAAATTTAAATATTAGAAATTAATGTAGTTCATCGAAAATAAGATTATATATTTTATTTATTTCGGCATGGTGAGAACCTATGGAAGATAAATCAGAATAAAATTTCGGTTAAAGGGATTCAGTATCTATACATTCTGATTTCCAATTCTTGACATTTAACAACTACTGAATATGGGACAATCTTCATAACGACAAAACTAAAACCCTCCACATGCATGACATTCTCCGTTAGCTTTTCACAAACAAACTGTAAAGTGGGTTTCATGCACTTCGTGATAGCTATTGCAACAAATGTATACATCTTTTAAAAGCGAATAGAACATGTTTAGGCTTTCACATGTTTCATGATACTCCTACAATTTTTCATGATATACAAAAATTATATTCTTAAAATATAAATGAATATAACTTCCGGACATATTGGATGCACATCTACTAAGTGATAAAAAAGTTAATTATTTGATGAAAGGTAGCTTATCTACATTAGAAATTAATTACTGTATGATTTCATACTCTCTATTTCGCAAAGGTTTTTTCTCCTACAAAGATCTATTCACGACTCTACCGAACCGATGATGTACTAGAGTAGGTTTTGTTACTTTGGGTATTTAACCTAATAACGGGGCACTGTACTGATTTATTACATCGTACCTACATTAAAAAAGGCTGTCAAAACTCACCGTGGCCTGAAGCTGCAAAATATATGGAAAGATCGTCGTCACCATCTGCAAACCCTCATTCGGATAGCACTCTAATAATAGGATCAAAAATAAGAATCCAAGAGATGTGTTGCGTTTTCCTGTTGCAAAATGCTACATGCTAATTATGGTTAAGTTCTGCTTTGCACAATAATTAAATCTCAACGTTCTTTCTCGAATAATCACCAGGAGAGTCCAAGTACAAACCTGGAGTCATAAAGATGAAACTCGAGCACCACGAACAAAGTTCTAAATTGGAATTTGGAGTGGGCATGTAGGTTTTGTGTCATGTAAAAGTCAAAGGTCCTTTAAGCACAAAGGAACAGGAGAACACAGTTACCGAGGACAGGAAGACAAACTCTTTACCAAAATTAGAAGATTGCATTCCGTTTCTCCCGATTTGATTCAAGAATTATGCTCGTCATGAGGTTCCAAAAGGAAACAGTACTTCTGTCCAGACTGTTCTCCCTCCTCGCAAGAGCAAAGTTTCAACAAAGTGAATTCGCGTTACGTTACACCAAGTTGAGGTTTCGGCAAACCATGTCCCATACAGAAATGCTAAAGCGAGAACTTGGGCGAGAAACTAGTTCTAGTCCATGTGTTATCCTCATTCCAGTCAGGAGATTGTCAACAAAGAACAGGGAATAAGAACATCTATCTAGACATTAACAAAAAGCCGTGGTCATTTGTTCCAACCTATGTCTCCATGAAAGGTTTAGCAATATTTTATTGTTGCGTTCTCCTCAAGAAACATCTCATAATGGAATAACTTGACTAAAAGGTTTAACGGCCTTCCTTCATAAGGCCAGATGATGAGATCTTAGAAAGAAAATCATTACTTGGACAGTCTCGTTGGTGTCAAACAAAGCATCAAGCACTGCCCATTTATGGGATGTTCTCAATTTCTTCCACTGTAAACATAGATTTATCCAGTGTGCTCTGCTTATATGTCATGTCACTGAGAAGCTCGCAAAGACCATGTGTATGTCATGAAATCGCCTCGGAGAATGCAGGATAATGCTTTTGGTATTCTTTCTGTACAGAATTTTTGTACTTTTTGTACCTATGATTTTAATGGAACAATACAAGCACTAGTAAGAGCAAGATTTTGTATGTAGTTCCAAGCAGTATTAACCGTTCCTCCACGTGTTGATTTTCATGTTTATGATGCATATTCAAACATTAGTAAAATACTCAATGATTCCACATTAAAATGCTTTTGCATTAATACCAACTCTTTTAGCACATTTAACCACTCGATAATCTTCCAAATAGATTCGCTCACACTTTTTGGGAGGCAAACCACTTGTAAATGAGTATATTACATTGATATTTATGTCAGGAATTATATTTCAGTTTATCCTGACAATATCACTGTATCAAAGCTCTATATACTCTTAAAAGTACGTTCAATCCAATGTTTCTTGTGGAGCGCTAGTTGAGTGTTTTATATCCAAGTTCTGCTGTAAGGAAGACAAGCGGACTATCTTCGTTCAAGCTAGAAACACTTTAATTTGGAAATTATGTTTTATCTTCTCTATTATTATGTTTTCTGAGATAAATTAAAAAAGACCATGGAAAGTCCTATTTGTATAATCTCAATGTAAATCTGGCTTCTAATTTAATAGCTGAATCAATGTGATGTCATGCTTATTTGGGTAGTTGAGGATCATAAAAAAAATCTCAATACACCCCCAAGTTTTAGAATTACATGTTAGCGTTGTGGGAGTATTAATTTCTGACATAACAAGCAAGAAGGGATCTTGAACACAATAATTTATGATCTCCTCAAGGTTTTTCCGAAGGGAAATATCTCTCTGTATCATATATTCCCAACAAAAATATCCCAGGTGTACACATGATTTTATATTCCGGAGATATCAGCTTAACATAAAAATAAAGAAAGGTATGGAGAACTTTTCCTTTGATATCAAGTATCGATACCTTTATTTGCAAGCTACGGATAAGGACGGAGAGCCAATATCTTGAAACCATCACCAAGCTCCTGACGAAGAATGTTGAAATACTTTCCTGATGTAGGGAGCCAAACGCAGCATCTCATAGCTGATAAGCCAAGGGAAGCAGCTGCGGAACACGAAGAAAGGGACGCAGATACAAAAGTACATGTACTCCAGTGTCCAAGACAGAATGTTCCGAAGCTGCAATAGCAAAGTCTTCGATCTAGGTCCCTCAACAGAAAACATTCTGCGGCCGGCCTAGCCGAGTCGAAGTATCCCATACAGTCGAAGTTAAAGAACTGTCCCACTCCTACCACGTAGGGTGAGCGCGTTCGGCTCTGCCAGCGTGGTTTGCAACGATGATCCCGGCGATCAATTTGGATGTCGACAGTTTTCTATCAGGCCTTCCACTGATTGCCTTCATGAGCCGGCAGGGTCATTGTCAGACTACCCCTGAATTGACCTGACTCCCAGTTTTCAACGCAGTAAAGCGGCTGAAAACTACAGTACACCAGTAAGTCCAGCAGGCGACATTCTACTACGCCACGTCTCGATCCGATAGCGAGGTTTCGGCTTCTCAGTCAATCGGCACACGCCATGTGGTGAAGCGACTGTCCATATACATCCCTCTTGGACAGATAGGGCAACCACAGCAGCAGTTGGCGCTGATGGGGACTGGGGGTTGGATTCGACACCCACTCACGCGTAGAACCGACCATGACAAATCTCACCTGTCCGATGTCACATCGGAAGGTCAGAGGCAGGGTTAGTTGTCACACCACATCGTAAACCCGAGCAGAGCACGTGGAGCAAGTTTGCGCGGGAACTACTGCAGCTGGACAACGACTGTTGCCAACCAGGTAGCGAGAGGGTGAGTAGTAACGAGGTTGGCCGCCAAGGCGAGGCCTGGGATCAGGGCCTGGCAGTCAAACTGTACTCGTCACGTCGCGAGGGCAGACGACGCGTCAGATGCGGGGACGTCGGATACGGCATCGAACGGATACGTTGAGGGCCCGGGGCCAGCCGAGGAATCGGACTGTATGGATGTGCTCAGGACACACACAGAGGCAGCAGCGCTGCTCGGGGCCCCGAAAGAACCGTGCGAGCGCTTTTGGACCCATCTGAGGAAGAAAGCAGAATCGCCTCCATCTGCACGGACTCGGACCCCGCGCATATAAAACTCGTTTCCAGCTGCTTCGATCCATCTACCAGAGTCGCTTCGCCGCTCGCTCAGACGCGCACTCCAAGAGGACCGCCCCGTGCATGATGCCTGTGGCAGTTACGGCCACAAAGTCTGCGTGTGCATCTCCAGAATCGTCACCGAGCTCAAGTTGATGTCAAGTCGCCGCAATCATCGCTGCTGAGAGTGGTGCTCGGTTGCAGACTTTCGGCCATCATTGTTGTCCTGCGGAGGAAACTGGTCGAGAGTGCGAGTTTTTTCTCGTAACGCGTTGGACACGGATGAAGGATTCGGTTGCCATGGAGCTGAGATACGCAGGATTCGTCTCATTGCTCGTCATACTATCGTTCGTTGTCAGTGGTACTACAGCTCGACTCATCCCTGGTAATTTGCCCTTGCATCAGGAGTGGCAGTTATCGCTAGATCCGTCCTGAGGCGCCATGGAGTTAAGCGGTGTTCAAAATTCACTCTGCTTATTCAAATGAGAGCGATCAAGTTGGTCTATGGAAGGTTCTCCGAGAAGGTCGAGTACCTCTGGGGATCTTCAAGCTAGCGAATTTCAGGTCCAGTAGTAGCGAACTCAGTCGTAGAATCCGTGTCTCTGGAGTCTGACTTTGACGACCACATTTGTCTATGCAGGCTCCACCGGGGACACTGCTGCAGTGACCACCGCAGATCTGACCACCACGAAAAGCTCAGAGGTAAGCTCTCTAGTCAGGTAGACCAAGTTATACTGCACGTTTAGTGCTCAATTTTGGGTTTATGGGCTCCAGGCTCGAGTGCCAGCGTTATCAGCAGGGATTGTGGAGAAATGGATGCGGATCATTAAGCACAACGGTCAATCCCATTTGGCTCCATAGGTTCGGTTGCTGAAAGATGTGGAGAGATTAGGAAACGATCAACAGGGCACAAGCAGGGAGATAAGCAGATTACTGCTGTGTAGAAAGTTCAAATCAGTGGGATGAAAAGTCAGTGTCAGAATGGATTGCGAATTTCGCAACCTCAAGACTGTCAAGCACTTTGACAGTCCACACGGCTGTCTTCTGAAAAAATGGAGTGGACATGAAAATCGGGTCGAGGTGACAGGTTGTCTGAAGACAGTAATCTCTCAGTACTTATTAAATAAGTACAATACCACATCGGCCTTGTTGTCTCATTCTTACTTGCTTGTTCGAAGACATGTCGTCGTGGATGTAAAGGCTATCCTTAAAAGTGAGCTCGTAAACGTAATTTGTAGCATCTGAACTTTGCAACCAGCAGGGAGGAACGGGGCGTCGACTGACATTGGTCCAACTCGTGTGTGGTATCAAAATGATCTTCTCTAGCGGTGCTAGAGATGCTCCCTCTTGACAGGGAAGCAGTTGATTGCCGTAGAGAATTTCTTCACCTGATTGGGATAAGAGAAATTATCTTTAGTTGTTACCTCGTGTACCCACAAGGTTAGCATGCGAATGTGCTTGACATGATTTAAGTATCGCGACGCAGTCGAAGAACTTTCTGCAGTTGCTGATGAAGTGAGCTCTTGTGTGCAGCTGGACGTGCCCATGCCACCAGGCACGGTGGTCAACGATTTTGAGGGATCTCATCGGGGAGCAGCAGTTACTGACAATCCGACAGAAATGAAATTCGGAGAAGTTGATGTCACTCATGAGGAGCGCATGCTGGTCGCCTCGACCATGGATTACGAAGGTCCCACCAACAACGAGAATCCCAAACACAACCCGTAGCTGAAGTACACGGATCTTTCCCGATCGTCAACATGCGAACACCAAAACACAAGGCTGGCTGTTCGATACTACATTGTACAAAGGTCAAGCTTTGGTCTAGTTTCTCTAGATCCTCCTAATGAGCTTTGAGTGGATGTCTGTTCCCGAACATGTTCAGTGAAGCACACATTTCTCTTTTCTTCCTCGTTGAGCATGGCTCGAGACAGCGTAGCATAATCCTCGAAGCTTGGAGTGTTGTCACTCGAATTATCACTCGCCAAAATTGCATTGGTAAATATTCCAGACTGATATCATAGATATAATGCTCATCTGGATGTGTCCTTCCGGCAAGCGATCAGCCCTCAGCACACTATGATAATAGTTGGCAGTTCTTGCAATTTCCCGATGAAATTTGCACATATATCCGAAATTTTTGTTGGCAAGCGAGAAGCTTTTCCCATAACTCGGTTCATAATATACGATATTTGTTGATCATCACGAAACGAATTTTGTTTCACTTTCTGATTGGAATGGTTGCTGTAAAAACAGGAGTAGTGTCAATTGTACTGTGGACACCAGGCAAGGCTGCGAATAAGTCTAGAAAACATGCAACAGCTTCTATAACGCGGAGAAGAAATTTATCTGAATATTCAAATAGAATCTAATTCCCGTAAGAATTGAAGAAAACATTTACTGCTGTATACTTAACCATTTTATATAGAAGAAGGAGAAAGAGGAGGAGAAAACAAACTGTTCGAGAAAGCAATCTACAAGGCAAAAGTACCAAAATTAAATTGAGTTTTCTGTTGCGTAATTTGACTTCTGAACATCTTAATTCTACTTATACCAAAGAAAAGATTTATGAAGTAATAACAAATTAAGCTTCACATTCAGCAACTGACAGATCAAAAAACCGATGTAAGCATAAAACTATCAAACTCAAACCAAACAATCGTATGATGAATTGAACAAATCGGAGGGAAAAAATTGAAAAATGAATCGAGAATCTACTGGGAGAAAAGTACACCGAAATAATTGTGAAATGGATATTTATTGGAAAAGAAAAAGTTCTCACCCTCAACAATTATTACGAAAATGAAACAGACTTTTGTGTTCAATCACACAAGAATCTGCAATCGTCGCCCTTAGATGAGCCACCACCTTCAAGGGCTGCAGTTAGTGCATTGGTCAACTCTTGTCCACCACTCGTGGCGTGCTTTCAGTACCACGAGACGCTACAGTATATATTCTGTCGTCTTGGTCTCGGGGTCGAGGTCTGGACAAGAAAACGATTTTCGGCCGGGAACAGTGCCCAAAGTTGATAGTTCACATCGTGGCCGATATCCGGCACATAATATAAAACCATGAAAACTTAGAAATTCGGGTGATCATGGCCTGCACACGCATACTAAATGTTCTCAACACTGCCTCGTGTCTTCTCAACCGATATTCGAGGTTAAGTTCGACAGAGAGTTTGTGAGCGGTACCGTCACGAGATATCCATACAAGCACATCAGAATGAGAATGAGGCGACAGAGAATACATAATATGATTTGATGTTCTTTTGCAAAATAGTTTCCGGGCAGGCACAGTAGATTGCATACACTGTAGTCTCTCATACCATGAATGACTGAATTAAATTGAAATTAGAAATCGAGGACCTGCTGGACATGCTAAACATAGAAGCAATGAGTAAAAGTTCCTTCTCCTTCTGCGAAGCAAAGCGGAAGTCAGAGTGTTCACTTCAACCACTGTTCTGATGACGATTTGAAATCCGAGCTTAGACATTCGAGGTCCATTGTGGAAGGCGCCGAAGCTGCAGAGCCTTCGCCCGATGTATTCACACGTTGCAAAAAATTATTTCTGAGCACCTGTGGTCTCTATATTGAAGATCAGCCTGGGTGACTAACCAACCTGGCCCAGGCAGTTCACACCGCAAGTCGGGCAGTAGGTAGCCTCGATGGGTCTGATGGGTCTGAGAAAGGTGATTCTAGAAGGCTGCCAAACTACCAGATACGATACCAGATACCCGGCTGCTTGATGGTGACCCCGGAACTCGTCAGTATGGACCTACCGCACACGCAATGTCGAGTTCTCGAGAGAACTAATCACATCACAGGACTCAGGAAGGTTTAGAACAAGCTCGACGAGCATAATGCACGACTCGAACTCGCTCGTCGCGCACAGTAGTATGAAGGCTTATGAAGGCGAGCACGCGCATGGCAAGGATCCTGTTCGGGAAGACAGAGAATATCGGGGCGAGCGTTCCGTTCACATGTAAGGCTTGCCAGAGGCCGGAGCTTGAGGACAACTTGTAATCCAGCCTGGGAATGCGAGGATGGTATTCAACGAGCCGGGCATTCGGCTCGCCCGGCATTCGAGAAGCGCTAGCGGCCCCAATCGTGGCAGATCGATATCCTCTTTGGAAGGAGACCCGCATCTTAAGGTGACCTGCTGTCCTATACTTCGGACGAAATTTTCAAAGCTCCCCTCTGCATGTTCAGCGCGCTAGAGACCAAAGGCGTAATCGTAGCTGCAGTCCGCTTAGGAAAGAATTCGCAGTCAGACTCAGAGCCTACAGGCTTTGGATTGGCTCCTACGAATAGCACTCGCTTCAACTGTGCATAAGTTGGACATCCGTGTCGCCTTGCAAGTGCGGCTCGATATGGCAACGTAAAGGAGTCCCAGAGGTCCCACCGTGGAGGTGGCCGGCCCCACAAGCCCTGGACGGGTCTGCCGGACGACGTAATTTGAGCGGATTTTATATTGCGTATGCAGACAACTCTATTCAGCCGGAAGGTCTAACTCCGAAGCAGTAGATTTCGGGCGCCGACGCTCAGGGATTGTGCTCCTCTCTCCCTGCTCCGCGCACGCATTGCGCTTGAAATCTAGATCAGCGTTCGAGCATCGTTTCTATCCACGACATTGACATGCCGAGATTGTGATCGTCTCGGGCAGGCATCCGGTCGTGCTCGATTGCGTAAGCTATCGATCGATCGCTACACAGGTTTGCGCAAGATGGGTACCTGATGATCGCTACAGATTTGCTGATGAGTGCTAGTCGTCGGACTCAGTCGAACGTCGGGAGCAATCCGTAGTCGTTGCCGGCTACAGAGCTTGGCCCTTGACCTCGGAAGAGTAATATTTGACAAAGTCAGGGTCTTATCTCGATTGGACCTCGTGTTATTATTCGCTAGATCTGATGGTCCGGATTTTTCCAAGTCGGGACGAGACTTTGTTCACGACTTCATGGATCGAAAGCTCGATTGGCGATTTGGAGTAGGTACTTGTGCAGGGAGATGTTGAAATGGGTCTTGGAGCAAGGCTGTCCGACAACTATCATAACAAGAGTCTTTTCTGCATGCTCAACGGATTGTCGTGAACTGGGCTAGCATTTCCTGCTTCTAGATGTCAACAGACCTTGTCTACAGATGTCACATATAGGCTCACCACTGTGCACCCGCCCGGAGATGTCTTCAGAGAATCCTCAGAATCCTGGTCACGTACGTAGATCACAGATCGAGTAGATTTGTTGCATTCAAGAGTCTCCGTTTGTCGAATTCCATGAATTTGGAATTCATTCACAATGACGTAGTCCAAAGTTATGGTCCAACGACTAATTCTCGCAATGCTTTTCTCACGCAGAGTTGCAATTCAGATCAGTGTTGTCCATTATGAAAAAAAATGAGTGTTCTTTTATCAACAAAGAAAACCTGTCAGTTTCTGGAGGAAATTGAGAGGTGAATACAAGATAGCTATGCTAGTGTTAAATCTGTACGATACATCTCCGAGCAACTAATCGATGTTGAAGTTAACTGCGGGGATAACTACCATTCAACACGGTATTTATTCACAGCAGACTAGGTCCATCAGTCTTCAACTCGCGACAGCCTCTTACATGTAGAAATTGGTAATGCAAGCCTTTTCTTCACATGTTGTGTTTCTGGCGCCTTCTCGAGGCTGAGTAATGATTCAGAGCCAACACACCGTCATACATGCCGCTGCTTTAGCTGAATTAAATCGAACCAACAATTTCGGGTATCAATTAACCATGCGACCCCAATTATTATCTCAGGTGCAATGGTCAATAGTTTAGACTTTCACCTTTTTAAAGATTTTAGCTCTATCAAGTTCAACACCACGAGGACCAGCACCATTGTCATGTATCTATTGACAATAGATACAATAGACTACTGTACCTCAGTCTTGTCATTTCTTCCTTCTCGTTTTTCCTTCATTCATAAAATCTCAAGTGAATGAAATTCGACACCAAAACAAAATTTTCATCTGTCACTGACAAAAATGTATCAGAGTATAAAATATCTTTCACAACATTCTTAGACTGTAAACATATCTTCTGTCACCAAATGCAAATACAAGTGCAGTATCAGTCCCTCGTGTGTTACAATCACTTTCATGTTGTTGTATGTGCTTTGAACAGGTTTAAAGGAGTTCACTCTGAAACTTGAAATTCCAAATGTAGAATCTACCGCTTGGTTAAGGGAATTTCAGTAAGCCGAAATGATTGCTTTGGCAATTGACTCAGCTCAAACAGTGCAGCCTGTACATCTACACAAGCTACTTCTTGCAGTCATATAGGTCCAGATTTCAGTCCTAACTCAAGATGACCTAGCTTCCCTTCCATTCATGGACAAACTTCAAAAGTCTAGAAAATTGAAAGTTAAAAGGAAGTGTTCGATTGGCTTTGTTGTTATCTGATAAAAACTAACTTGGTGTACATGTCATTGCCGTTGACATTCAGAGATAGAAGTTACATACATCTTTCTATTACACAATGAACAGATGCACATAATCTTGCTCAAGATATCATGGCAAAGAAGTTTTTTCTTTATCAACTGTAGTGATTCTGGAGATTTTTATTACATTATCATATTTCCATTACCATTGGCGATGAATCATTCTATTTCTTTATTAAATTTTGACTTCATCAAATCAAAAAGTGAATGTTTGAAAGTTGGTGTAATCTCTTTCTTTCTTTCTTTCTTTCTCTCTCTCTCTCTCTATATATATATATATATATATATATAACACTATAGTAATCAGAAAATATCAACGAACATTTAAAAAGAAGATTATGACCACTAGAACTAACTTAAAGTTTATAAAAATATTTTTGGATCCTCAGCATTTGGTATCTATGTGTAATATTAATTCTAATTCAAATCAAGGACAGTGAATAGTTCAAATCACAGTAAGCTTAAATTTTATATTTAGAGTATGTATTGATATAACATATGAAATGAAATTTTTTCATCTTCTTCTAAATTACACATCACCAAGTTGTTTTAAGTATGCTTTATTACTGAAGAAAGTGCTATGTAGCTAAGAATCGAAATTATCCATCATAAATCTTAATTTCGAAGTACAATCTACAAAGATTATTTTGTTAGTTCACCATGATTCCTTCTTACATTCAATCAAGTTCAAAGATTCACATGATTTTCTTTTTTATGACGTCATTTGACATCAGTTTTATATTAACAAAGAATTTTTTTATGATTTATTTCATAATTTATGATACTAAATTAAAAAAATTGATAAAAACGTAATACTTCCAAATAATATTCTGATAATTAAAAAATATTCTTCATATCATATACCCAATATATCATTGATATATGAAAATATGAAATAAATTACTAAAAAAAAATCCGTAACTTATAAATGTCAATTTGAATTTATAGTGAATAAATCCAAATTGACTGGTTTTTTATGGTTATGGTTTGACAAATTTTTATGGTTTCAATTTCATAGTACAGCCGATGAAATTTTATTGTTGTGATTTGTATGTTTTCCTTTTGAGTTGAATATTTTCCCTTATTTTTGTAATTAATATTTAAGCTGGAAGTATTACGATAAGACATTCTGTCTCCATATGTTTATGAACACTCTTCATTAAACTCTTCAAAATCAGAGCTTTGTCCTTGCTTCCAGAGATTTGTCTTACTATCAAATGACCACCACTCCTCACTTTGGTTTGTATATTAATGGAAGTAATACAATTGTGTTCAAAGGTTACGTGAAATTAACTGGACTAGAATTGGAAACAAATATTAATTACCTAATTTTCTTGTTCCAGTAAATAACATAGTGTTGCACAAAAAGCATATTCAAAGCTCTAAAATTTGATATGAAATTTTGAAATGTATATCAGTTTTTTTAAAATTTGATAAAAAATCCCCAATTTTGAAATAATAAAAAAAAGTTCTATGATTTGATTATCAGTTAGTTTTCATTTTTTAATCCATAGAAATATATTCATAAAAATTCTTTCAAATGAAATTTGCATGTATGAAACTTTAATAACATTACAGTTGTTAAAGTTTCATTACTTTAACAACTGTAATTCACATGAAATTTGCATGTATGAAACTTTAACAACATTGTTAACTATTCAAATTTAACTTTGATACAATTCATATAAAGATTTATTTTTTCGAATTTTTCGAATTTTTTTCGTGTTATGAATTCATAAAAATAATTTTGTAAAAATATTATGAAAATAGAGTATATAGCTTGAAATAATATTTTTTTATATAATATTTTATAATTAAATTCTTATAATTTAAAGTAGTAAATTATTTAGATGCATGAGGTCAATGTAATAGTTTAATAGATTTTTAAATAAGAAAATAATTATCTGCTATAATAATTTAGTCATTTTCTACATTTAGATTTTTCTGAATTTTCTGATTATATGTGCAAATTTTGAACAACTTTTATCATCACAATAACACATTTATAAAATCTTTCAGATTTTTACAATCATTTAATTTGAAACCAAAACTTTCGTCAATGTATGATTGTAATAAATGCTCAAATTCAACAATATTTAGAACTTATAGCGTAATTAGCAGTGGTTTATAGGGTTAAAAGATTAATCAAGAGATTCAAATTTTGTAATAGGTAATATTTCAATTAATGTTCATTGATTTAATCTAGATATAGGTAGCACTATGCATGCGAAAGGATGAATTACCAATTAACAGAATATCTTTGTAACTCAAAAATTAAAACTTGATCTCATCGCAATATTTTTTTTTATGTTATATTTATGAATGAATTATACACTATCGATGTTTTGACAATGAATTCAGTAATCTACATTTTCAAATGAGAGTTTTTGCCATGAAAATGTGATATTTGAATTTTAATACATTTTGATTAGTTTTGTTCAATATTGATTCTATAATTTAGACATAGAGTATGCATTCTATCAGTCTCATAATATTAACTTTATCAGATGTAGATATTTTTAGTGTAAAGTTGATTATTTATGACCTAAGAATAACGATTCAAAGTTTTGAAATAAATTCGTAAATTGAAATAAAGATATCAAATGGAATTAATATATTTAGTACAATCTATAAATGAAAC